TTGTACCCGATTGTGAGTAATCTCGGAATACTCTCTTTAGAGATTAGTCACCGTACCGTACCGTACACTACTTGATGGAAACTTTAGCCAATACACCCGGTAAAGCTACCTATAATATACTGGAAGGTACTCAAATATTTACCCAGTATGCTCTGGTAGGGTTTGTATAACTACAGAACATAATGAAAACGTGCATACATAAGCTTTATTGCTGCAATTGAATATGTAAAATGAAATTTGCTAAATAAGAAGTGTACAACAACAAAGGCAATTGATTAGTATGTAATAGGAATACTTGCAAGGGAACCCGATTAACGTTTAATTAGTTAGTTGTATGTCCATGTAGACTAAAAAAAAAACATGGGAGAATAATGATTGGTTTAAAAACTGAATTAAGTGCACATTTTAAATATATGTACAATAGGGTGGTCCAAAAAAAATCGGAATTTCAATGCTCTAACCCCCTGGGATTGTTCTATACCGAAAAATTATACCCCGGTTTTCTATGTATTTTATATGGAGAAAAAACAAGTTTTCGTAGATATGATATGGAATTCTTAAAAATCAATATTTTTCGATCGGAAAACTTTGTTTCTCTTCAGGAGACTTCCACTCATAATACACAATCGTTTCTTTAAGCATATTGTATTACTAACTATTTTTACAGGACCCCTAAAATTCCCAAATGCGTACACTATTGCATTTTTCAGGTGTTTAGTGGTCCTATAGAAAATATTTAGTAACAGAAAATCGTTAAATAAATAATTGGGTATTGGTCTTGGAAGTCTTCTGAAGAGAAACGAAGTTTCCCCGATTGAAAAATATTTTTTATTTTCAAGAATTCTATACCATTTTCACAAGAAATTTTTTTTGCCAAGAAATTTTTTCTGTTTCAAAAAAAAAACAGGGTCAAAGTTTTCGACCACTCTCACGTACAATCATGCGAACATATAGGTATAAATACATTCGTCTGTATGTGCATACTATGTTACTGCACAACATGCCAACCCGCGCACTGATAGTGTGGTATGTTAAGCTCTGCCTCACATTTACCGAGATGGGGGTAACCACCACATTTGGTCTGACCACCCGACCTGTCGCGTCGGTTAGCCAGCCATTGAAATTGCTGCATTAATGTCACAAATTCAAATGTTGTACTTAACCAATTGCGGCCTTTGCTATTTGCATAAACACCGATGAACATTCGCATGTACATACATATATTTGTCAGTCTGCTAGTGTTTGCTTAAATTCGAGCATAAACTGTGTTTGTTTGCTCGTGTGAATGTGAAATGGCCGGCTTGCAAGCCTAATGAAAATGGCAATTTTCGGTTTGTAAAATATGGAAATACCAGCAAACATGGCCGCAACGTTGACAATATAATGCAATTATAGTCTGTAGACAAAATGGGCCAGTTACATCCATATACGATTGTATTTATGTATGCGCATGCATGTACATACATATGTAGAATAAAGTTACATACTCTTATATTTAATTAATTGAATCTTTTAATCTAAAGTCTTGGCCATTTTGGACTGCAGTTTGAGTGAAGGTAGGATATGTTTTTTCTTTTTAATGGTATTCTATAATATTTTATTTTATTTAAATATATTTTTTGAATAATATTTATTGAGTTAATAAATCTATGTATATATTTAGTGTTTGATTATATTTAGAATTTGAAAGTAAATTAAAACTATTTTCTACACTTTAACCACTTCATCTTTGACAGACGCCTTAGTTTTATCAAAACCACTGATAAGCATTCCAAACACTCCAACAAGTATCAGAATATCCAAAGCCAATAATATCTTCATGAAGGTAAGTACACCATTAATGATACGATTCTCGAACTCAACTGCAGATGAAAAATGGTATTAGTATTAAGTTTTTTAATAAGAATATGACTTCATGTTTTACCTTCTGCGGCAATATTCATTAATTTTATTCGCTTCGCAATAATGGGAGACATATCCTCTCCACTCGGCATATTTGTTATGCCAAAACTTTTTGACAACGCCGACGAATGCATCTCCGAAGTAACACGTACCACAAATTTCCGCCACATAATATGTAATCCAGTATGGTTTGTAGCCACCTCTACAGGGCTACGAAATATTTGGTTTGCCTGTTCTGGCGCCAATTTTTCAATGAAAATACTGGGTTTAAATTTTTCAACATGCTCTATACTTTCAACCTGAAATGATATCAAGTACTTAGTATAATGGAAACGTAATTAGAAAGTTTAGCTACCTCGAAAGAGTGCGTTGCTGCCACAAGTGTGGAAAGTATTAAAAGAAACGCCAAAATTATTGGTTGATGTTTTAGCTGACGAACCATTTTGCTGAATATTTTCAAGGTGACAGAAAGTGAAATCGAGAATTAGTTGTTATTTTTTGTTATTTTTTTATTATTTTCTTGTAGACTTTTATTTATTTAATCTTATTATTAGATATTGATTAAAGAATTGATTGAAATCTCGAGGCTTATGGACAATTTTTGTGCAAGGAAGTAAACAACATCTCTATGACACAATTTTAAATTGGTAATGAACATACGGTACATACTAAAACTATGAGACTAAACTCACTGTATTTCATACCCATGGCCCAGCGTTAGCTAGGGGGAAAAAATAGTTAAAGAAATATTTAAAGCTTTCAGAGCATTTGGTCCATAAAAGGGCTCACTGAAAGTGACATTTAAATAAAAGAAAAACTATGAAATAATTGTTTATGTCTTGCGTCTTTTATGTTGAGTCCATTAAACGTTTGCCATGGTCATTATATTCATTTCGATTAGTGATGACTTTTTCTATATACTTGGCATTATTTTAATTTTATGATCAGACATTTTTCACTACACAAAAATTTGTCGAAATTACGGAGGCAATATGGTGAATTACAATAACTTGGCTAAAGTACTTTGATACAACAACTCCCTAAACTTGAAGAGACTGGAGATTTCAGTAACAAGTGACCTATAACCTCTCCAATTACGGTCTGGCATGAGTTCGCATGAGAGATTTTTATCTCACACTGTCTTTTTTACGCTAGTCACTTTAAAAGCTTTCTACAGATTGTATGTATATGAAAGCGTACAGAGTGAAAGCTATCTTTGAACGTCACTTTCTAGCGCAAATGTGTTTATTATGAGTAAATATGTATGCATTAAATCAAAAGGCTCCTAATACCATTGAAATTTTTTTCTAACCGATATTTTTAATATTTATTTTATTTTAATATTAAAAAAAATACATAAGCCATTTTTTTTGTATATTTATATGTGTATATATTTATTTTAAATAATACGTTTTAGTTTTTACTTTTGCTTTTTAATTTAATAAGATAAGCGCGCACTTAAAATAACAATGTTCTTTTCACAATCTACGGTATACGTATAACTGTTGCCTTGAAATTCATCCAACCGAAGCAGTGGGTAATTTTGAAAACCGCCGACGAACCACGAAAGATAAGAAATCTTTTAACAAAAGTATAAACGTGAGAGCCATAATCACGAACAACTAGGTAAATACTAGGGTGTTCCATTAAAGAATTTTCCCAAATCAATTTTTACCTAAGCCGTCGTTTAACCTAATAATTTACATTATTTCAGCTCAAGGTACTAAATTTATATTAGTTTATAACAAATCTTATGAACACATTTTGTACCTCATCCATTTTTATAATTTTTTTTTTATCTTTACATAGTACATAATTCATTCGCACCTTTTCGAAAGTTTGATTGTTAGTGGAACCTTAAACAATTAATTCCAGGTTAAGACTGACGTCAAGCTTTTTTACCACTACGAATGGTAACTTTTAAGATATAGAGAAAAATCTGGTGTGTGAAGAGCCAGGTTTGGATTAGTTAAAAAGTGAGTTCAAAGTTGTTTGTGCCAAAACCTCTCAACAGCTTGGTAATTAAAGAGAAATTGTTGAGATTACTCCACCTCATCGTCTTTTAAGCAGCCGCGAATGTGAGGATTGGGTGCGTTAAGAACTTCATTATTGTCTCCCTTCAACTTCTGCCTGCCGCCTATTCCACTCTAGGCGCGAGTGAATGAAGACAGACTTCTCACTATTTCTCACTATGCAGTGATGCATGTTATTCACGTGTAAAGTCGAAGACTCTAAGAATATTAGAGCATCTAAATCTGTCATGCCCAGCGCAGGGCACTTGCTTATGGAGTTCTGCCGACGTTGGGCATGACTGATCTAAATCTTGAGTCAGCTCGCAGTGCCCCTGCACTCGTTGCTGCCGTATTCTTACGCAAGATGTTGACGAACGCTATGTTAAGCATGCCGTTGAGAGCCAGAGTGGGAATGGTCTAACTGCGCCACTGATTGCAAGTATCATTATAGTCTTCCGTAGTGCATTTTATTTGAAGAGAACTACTTAAAAGGTTTTGTGGGCTTAACTGTGGTTTCACATATCTGAAAATAACATTAGGAAAGAGGTGCAGGTATGCAAACGATGCCTCGATATTTTTGAAAATTCGCTAAATTGACGCTAACAGTTTCAACGATAGTTTACACATCGACTTAAGTGTGACTCGGACTTGCTTTGGATGGGTATTTCAGCCTTATCATGAGTTTCATTTTCATCCGAAATCGTTCAGTTCTCTCTTTTCGCTATGTGAATTAACTACAGTCGGATGAAAAAATTTCGGTTGAATTTGATGTCGGGCGAAACTCAGGATATGGCTGATTGTGCTACTAAACTTATTTGATTGGTCATGAATTTCCTTACTCATTATTTGGGGAAACATACAGGAAATCCGAGTTTATTTGCAGTTTTCAGTGGTAAGAATGATAACAGAATCATTAGATAGGGTCCGGACTCTCCTTTGAGTTTCAACAAAATTAGGTCTTGGAACTTTAGGCGAACCTACGATGTGTGAATTTCTATTCTATTTGTAGGATGGATAAAGGAAGGCTAATTAAATACAGAGAAACACATCCGTAAGTAAGTATTTTTCTAACTGAAGTGCAGAGACTGCATTGGTTGAAAACTATTAAATTTTCCTTTGAATGTGACTGGAACTTAACCATTTATAAAATATCGGAAACCATCGATATACCGATGTTACTCCCTAAAATTGGAATCCCCACCGATTGCACGCCTACGACATTTAAGATCCACTGATGCTTTCTTCATATTCTTCTTAATGTCAGGCTTCTGCACTAGTATCTTTGTTAGAATCAAGCCCAATTACCTAACCCTATCAGAATGCGTAGAAGGGATGTCTTTATTTAAGAGAATAGTCACATGGCATCATATAATCATATATTTCCAAGTACACAGGACGAGTTAAATCTTACGAGGAGTTTCAAGGAGACTCACTCTGTTAGAAGACCACAAAGCTATCATAATCAGATATACTTGTAGTTATCATATCAAAGTGGGTATATAGAAATTAACTTTGTTTAACCTACCTTCGATGTTGGTACTGCCTAACACTGCTGTGACAGTTTTGTCCCGGAGATTGCGGTATGTGAGCTTAATTATGCTGGTTTTGAGCCCCATTCTTGCCAAGGAATCTGACTATAGTCTCGCGAGGAACTTACTAAAAGTCGCTTTATAATATTTCTAACTAATTTCTATTTATATTGCAAAACGAAATAAATACGCGCACACATTTATAACTGCCTAGTTATCATACAACTTGCTTATACATACTAAAAAAAATTGAACACCACAACTGCAACAAAACTTCAGCTTCGTCAATACTCGAAAAAATTCACGTGAATTTATTTTTTAAAGTGAACGAAAACTGGCTGAAAAAGCCAGCTCACTCACCCTAGTAAACGCACACGGCAGCGTATTTGAACTGTCAGCTGGAGCCGGCTGTGGATGCCAGCTGTGTCAACAAAAATTTCAACTTCCCCACTTTGTTGGGCTTACAGCTTTTGATGTTTTAATGTAGCGTAGAGTCATACAGAACATATTCAAACAATCATTTCAGGGTAGACAGCAAAGTTAAATACTCGTAATACTTCATTATATAGTTAAATTTTTTTTTGTTTATTCGTATAATGATTTTTCCAAACTTGCATATTCTATATGTAATTCAAAAATAATTTATTTCTCAATATTTTCTAATTTTCACATACATATTTGCATTATTTTACTAATACACCCACCGATCAAGCAGTTACTTCCTGCCAGCACCACCAGCACCGGCGGCAACAGTGCTCGGCGTTGGTGTTGTTGTACTTGTTGTGCTTGTTGATGTACTTGTGGTGCTTGTTGATGTACTTGTTGTGCTTGTTGTTGTACTTGTTGTGCTTGTTGTAGTCGAATTTTTTATGTTCGGATCTGGTATTGTGCTATGCGGTCCTCTTTTCTTTCCGTTCATACCTCCGAATAACTTATCAAAACACTATAATATTTATTTTTATTAAATAGTAAAGCATAATGTGATGTCTTTAGTATAATTTCTTAATTTAAGAAACACTTACATCCACTATATTATCCACAGTGCCCTTGACCAGGCTTTCCACATTCGTAGTGAATTGATTGAAGAGCCCGCCCATACCCCAAGGAGAGGAGGCTCGAGGTTGGCCTATTAGATTGCTATACCTTTCTTGTCCGAAATCGAAATTTAAAACATTACAAAATACGGTTGCACAAAGTAAGCAAATTACAAGGATTTGTGTTAGAGCTTTCATTTTTTATTTTATTTTTTGTGATGAATTTTTGCAACTTTACGGTTCAACGTCGGTTTGCTAAACTAACTAACGGATACTAAGTGAACTTCGTATTTATATTTCTCATTAGAAAATTTTTGGCGAGGGTCGCACGAGGCTACGTTTTGAATAATTTTTGCGTTTTCCACTATTCTCGGAATTTACATTTAATTTTTAGAAATTTAATTATTTTAAAGACTAAATAGTAAATGAGAGCCAAAATGAAGGCATCTCCTCAAAAGTCCATAACTTAAAATAGTATAAATTTGTATTTAATATCTTTAATGTTTATGTCACAATAAAACCAATAAATGGAGATATACGATTTCGTTTATTTTCTATTGGTTATATCTTTTAAATAAGTATCAAAAATCCAAGAGTTAGAGCTAACTAGAAAAGCGATGGATATACATATCAACTGACACTTGAATCGCATTTTAATGTGTTGACAATAGAAACAGCTGTGCAAGTAGCTAACTCGTCAGTGTGCCTGTCTGCGAAGTAAGGTCACAAAGAAATTATAATATGTATTACACTGGCCAACAAAATTTTTCGGCAGAGCTTTTGCCCTTCAAATTATTTAAGCCTGGAAGTGCTTGGCTCTTTTGACCTGGTCTGCAGTCGAAACGACTAACACCAACTTTGAATTTAAATAACAATAGCAATTAAATAAGAAAATATATTTTGTGATTTTTAGTTCTTTATATTTTTTAAAACACATTAACAAAATATTAAATACATATTCTTTTCTTTGTTACATATATAAAATACAAAAAGTTAAATGACGTCAGAGAGAGTTACGAAGCAAAACACGATTGTTGTTGGTCGAACCGGCTAAAAAGGCACGTGCAGGGTTAATTGGCTCTAGATCTTGAGATATTTGGAACTAAAAATGTTAAAACACTATTTTTTAATTTTTTGTAAGCTTAG